TTTAGCAGTGTCCCCCCCAAATCCCACGTGCACACAAACTTTATGCTCTCTGAGCCCTTCGCAAATGCAAGCACACCAGATCATTCTGGAGGGCGGCCTCATTTCAACAAATTCCAAGAGCTTAGTTTTCCCCATAATGGGAAATACCTGCAAATGAAGTGAAATTTATTAAAATGTTAAAATACGCTGTCAACTTGCAAACAATTACCTACATAAGCTTTTCATAAAGAAACAATGGTTACCCAAAAGGATTCTAAAAGTCAGTAACTGAGGGAGGAAAATAATTCTTAGCATTTGCTTCCTCGCTAATGATATGTGACAACCGGGAAGGATTCTATTTCAAAAACAGTAACAATGATTACAACCTCCCCTGTAAACAAGTCACATTTTTCACAACTTTAAAATATACTTTAATTATCATAATGCTTAACAATAAAACAACGAAAGTTGCCATCCAGCAGTGGATCCTGACTTTAAGGGTTCCCCAAGGCTAAAGGAAACTCCTCTTAATAAGAGCCATAAGCCATGAGAGGTTCCTGGACTCTCTTCAGTATCCGAAACGTGTTTAATAGGAGTGCAAAAGTACGGTCCAAAAATCAGTTAGGCTGACTTAGTTTAAACTCTGATCTGTTAAATTCAGGACAGTAGTTACTATCTCTTGAGATCTTTAAACTTCTTAGTGTGTTTTGACCTCCTTCTTCAAAACCCTTCCCTGCCTCAGGGAAAGCCCAGTCTTCCCCCCCACACACACACACCCCACCCCCCGTTTCCCCTTCAGACAGGACACAGCCTGGACTCAAGGCCTCCCATAGGCCAGACTTCCTTCTCTGCAGCCCTTTGGGGTAGAACTGCTAATCCTTCTTATTAATTAATGAGATAATGGTGGTTAACCGGAAAGCAATATTAATGCTCACTATCTAGGAAACGTCAACCAAAATTATTTTAGCCTTTTGGTTGGTTTTCCTGGTGTGCAGAACTGTGTTCTGAGAATCTGGCAACATTTTGATGCAGAATTGAGAAATTCAGGAACAGAGGATTTGTATCAGACCTTAACACATAGGTTTCCTCATGAAGCTTTGCTTATTTTCTTTTTTAACATTTACACTGTTCCACGTTAGTCACTAGAAAGAAAAGTTAAATCCTCTCAACATGTTACTATAAAATTTGGAAAGCTGGAAACTCAGGGAACTACAGATTACATAAGAAATAAGCAGTGATGTGACTGAAAGCAAGAGTCAGTCATAATGAATGCATTACACATCACTACATTCAGCTAGTCTTCCACACCCTCAACGCACACCCCGCATCCTACAGCACACTTACGTCCCAGAAAGGTGTCCTGTGCAGGGTTTGCCTGGTTTTTGTTTTGTTTTGTTTTGCTTGGCTTTCATGAATGCAATAACAAAGACAATATGGGGAATAGGTACCACCTGCCCAAGAATCATTGGACATCTTTAACATCCTTGGGAAAATGGAGGCCACTTTAGAGCTGTTTTTTCCTCTAATCTATCACAGCTTTAAAAAAAAAAACAAACCAAAAAGCAACAACCTAAAAAATAAAAAGGAAGGGTTTTATATTAGCTAAGGTTTGCTGCAGCAAACAAGCAAGCAGCTCTCATTCAGGGATTGTCAAAAACTTTCCAGTGTGCCCACTGCAATGCGGATGCCAACCAACGAATCAAAGGCATTCAGCAACTAGACAAAGAGGGTCTGATGCCAACCTCGGTGCCACTGGCAACCATTATTGGCATCAAGCACAGTGTCTGCCTTTTTTTTCCCCCTCGCCTGGCACTTCACAAACAAAATGGCGGTTCTTGTAGCAACGGAACAGCCGAAGCGCAGCCCTCTGAATCAATAACGTCAAATGATTTTATGGATTTAAACGCAGTTACTCCCACATGATGTGTATATTTGAGGTAAAGTGGGGGGCTTATCTAATTTTATAAATGACTGTATTGAACATGACCTTTTACTAATGTGGAGAAATAGAAAAATGGACTAAATTGCGGTCAGTCGGGCTATATGCATCGAAGAAGCTGAATAACAAAGAGATTGAGCTTTAAAGAAAATCCTGCCTTTGTGGCCATGTGATGCAAAGGTCTAATGAACTATATATCAAAAGTGATTTCAAAATGCATAAATTTTTCCCAAAACCATATCAGATGCAGATGTAGTACTAGAGCTTGTGTCAAAGCTCTAGTAACTCTTTCCACATTTCAAAAAAAAGATGAGGCTGCTGGGCATGAAGAAAAAAAAAAAAAAGTGTGGGTTGAACCAAAAGAGAAAGAGGGAAAAAGAAAAGCAGAGGAAGTTGGCCAACAATGGAACTTTATTATATGCTGGTCTTTATTTCCTCCTCCAGAAGAGATGCCGTTCGTGATCTCGTATAAATAACCAAGAGGACTATTGACATCTCTAGATCTGGAAATTGTCAATATATTGTAACATCACTCCACACTGCAATGCGGATGCCAACTAACAAATCACAGGCATCCTGAGCTAAACAAAGAGGGTCTGATGCCAATCCTGGTACCAGTGGCAACCATCTTTGGCATTCTCTCTGTTCTTTCTCATGTTTTCCTCCCAGTCATTTAGAAGTGCGGAGATGGAGAAAGAGGGGGGGAAAGGTAATTTTGTTGCTTGTTCTGTTGTAAACATTACAGTTCCCTTTTCTTATTTTTCCCTCATGTCTTTCTTCATACTTCTTTGCCTGATGTATAAAACCGACTTAAGTGGGTTTTCTTGTACTTAGAGGAGAAATAAAGAGTCATGATGGGAGATAGGCAGCACTTTGATTGACTACAGACTTGTCTTTCTAAATGCCTTCTTCAATCAATTGCACTGCAAAATAACATACTTAACCTACATTTGACCAAAAAGAAAAGATATCAATTTTGAAGAAAGGAAAACACAAAAGCATCCTGATGTGACTTTTTCAAAGAAAGAGCCAACAGATGTTAAGAAGAGATGACGCACTGGCAGGTAGGAGAGGATACCAATTAGATGTACAGGGTAAAATAATGAAAGCTTTTTATGATAGAGATTCAAAAAAACAACAAAATCAATGTTTTATCTGAAAATATGGTCTCCAAGAGTTGCTTAAAACTTCATGACTATCATGACCAATGGTGCAATGCAGAAGGCATCTATGCATTTTTCTTTCTTCAATCTATCTCCACAAATCCAAAGGATATGTTCTTTATTGTCAGTTCATCCACCAAGAGACTTGGCTGCCTGCCCCAGGAGTGAATGTACATGCAGGCACACCTCAAGGACTAGCCTTCAAGCAAGTTAAAATGTGAGTAGCAGTGAAGTGGTTGCAAATCTTCCCTCCCTGCACTAAAAAGTTGCATGGCCCACTTTTTAAAACTTTACTTCCAGCCTTGACTTTCACAACACACTTACAACACGTTCACAGTCAATCCAGCACAGATATACAGCCCACCTTAGGATGTCACCTCCTAGACAGCTGTCAATCAAATTAAGTGTCATGTGTTTATGAGCTTTTATTTTAGGACACACAGGGCAAAAATATATTTTTCTCTAAACCATCATTACTTGGACTTCAATTGTTAAATGCATGGTAATGCAAATGCAATGTCTCGACAACAACAACAAAAGTAATAGTTTCAAATATATCATGTCCAGCATCTTATTTAAAATCAAACTAAAAATTTTTAAATGACATTTAAGCATAGCTCTAACACTATATCAAGGAATTATAAAGACAAGCACGTAACAAGTACCTAGATTTCTGAGTCAAAAGAGTAATTCTGGTATTTCATTTTTTTGGATAATAATAAAGTTCATAACAATTTACCGAATCCCAGATTTATATAACGAATATCAGATAACCCGTCTGCCACCTCAGTATCTGCAGGCCATTTCCCTACCACCAGGCAAGTTAGGAAATGACCCACCATCTGTGGCAGATCAAACTTCAGTCCACTTTTGGTATGCTGCTTTTTAAAATGATGTTGCTAATACATGGAAATCCGTATCTTGACACATTTATTTGAAGAAAAGAAATCCTCACTTATTTAAAGGAAAATACAAAATAATAATAAAGAAACATATTTCATGAACTCAAAAAATACTCAGCAAAAATATCCCCTATTTTTGACATTTATACCACTGTCTTTATCAGGTATTTTTTTTTTTAATAGATATGGTATGTGGTTTCTGCATTCTTTTTGAGATTTATTTTAAACCAGTGTAACCAGTCCACTTTCTGTTTTTGTTCTGTAAGGAGAGCTGCAACTTTTCTCCTCAGTAACTTTTGTGAATTCACATTCAAGTAAACTAATGATATTAAGTATTCCCAAGTCACGCTGGGAAAATATTATACCATAAATTATTTAAACAAGAACTATAATCCATCTAATCTATGGCGAATATTACACAATCAAAAGGAGGTGTTGATAGATATATTCAAATTAAATAAATCTAGGTCCACGTAAGATACACTTTCTGGTATTGGCTATCTTAAGCATTTTGTAATAGGAAATGTTAATTCTATTTTCGGTGCAATAGGACTAAATTCGTGAGCAAAGTTCATCTACCTTGTTAGTTATGAGGCCAATACAAAGATTATTAAAAAGCGGTTTGACTATTCATAAATAAAGTTACATTTTCAAACTGAGAAATGACTAGACACAAGGAATGCAGCCGAGGACAAAAAGTGAATTGTAATAAACTACACTTTTCAGACTAGTCTGTGTCTTTGAAAAGGTATATTATTTCAAAGACATTTGAAAACGCATCTCTTTGTGGTCTTTCCCAAAACACCCACGCCTATCCGGGTATGAAAGCTCCATGCCTGTGTCCATGGCTGGCCCATGGGAGTGGACATGGGAGTGGAAGAGGGCAGGCCACTCTACCCAGAGGGGGTGAAGGAGACCTAGGGGCCTCGAGGAACATCCAACCCAAGCCAGCTGTTCCGTATACGGGGTTTGTGGGCAGTGTTTGCCATACTAGAAGAAAGAACAATCTGCTCCTACCTTGCTCCTGCACGTAGTATGCCAAAAACAAATCAAGCTCCTTAACTGATACTGTGATATGATGTGGCTGGACACAAAGTGCTGGGTTTGTGCAATGTGGGGATTTCATGAGCCGCTCTCCATCGGTACTTTCCAAGGGGATGCCTTTGAACAGGATCACCATGACTAGATCCAGACGCCAGACTTTGTCTGCCTGTCGCAGGCAGTCGATTCTCCTAATCTTACCCTTCTGGTCGGGATTGGATAAGACACAGCATGGGTGCTTCTTGCCAGTCACGGTGAGCACAAAGTCCTCTCGATACTCCTGGCGGATGTCTTTGCGCAGTTTGGCCAGGAGCCTGGATGCCCACTTCTGTTTGATTTCAGGCTTTTCGCTGAGAAGCTCATCTTTGACTGCTCTTTCTTCATCCTTTGACATTCGCTTCTCGTGCTTTTTAAAGTACTTGCGTTTCCGAGCCTGCAGGTTGAACCAAGTGTAGGCGATTGCACGGACATGTGGAAGGAGTGCCTCGATGAATGGGTGAAATTCATCCTGTGGAAGATGAAGGGGGGGGAGAAAGAAGACAGACACAGTCAGCTTAGTTTTAAAGGCTCAATAAATAAATAAATAAATAAATAAATAAAACTACAGTCCATTCCCAATTCATTACAAAAAGTTATGCATAAAAATCACATTCTTTTCTTATTTAAAATTATCAAAATAGCAGGAGAAGAAGAAAATAAAGTATGCCAAGCAGCCCCTTTTCCACCAAAATATACAGGTTGATTCTGCCTCCTAAAAAGAAAATAAGATTTATATTTGTATTTCCACTCTGGCCCCATCCCCCTCATTCCCACCATGCATCCCACATTCCTTAAAACGTAAGTAACCAAGGTGCTTGGCACCTAATTTAATATTTAAATATTTGATTGACCAACTAACACTACGCAGTACCATTTTACAAAGAACACAGTGAGATTTTTTTTTTTTTAATCGGAGCAGAGCTGTTCAGAAGGCAGGAGCGATGCCACAGTTCATTTCTCTTCTCTGTGGCACAGAAACACAAAGCATATAGATGCTCAGTGTAATGCCACACAGTTCCCGCTTTTGGAGCATGCTCTCAGCAAGAGGCTGCTGGTGGCACAAAGAGCATGCGCCATTAAACTTGATCCATTTTCTTATCAAACGTCCAACATTCCAACACTGAAACAGCACCATTCCAAGAGTGGTAACTAGAGAAACCGGTACACAGTGAGGGAAAGTGGGCAAAGGACACAGCTTGTCGTATCAGTGTCCCGAACAGAAGGTTTCCATACTTTGAGCAGTGCATTCTCTCCCTCCACCACCAGCACTCGCCTCCAAGACACACGCACGCACGCCATACACACACACACACACACACACTCACTCACTCTCACACTCTATTCTCTCACAGACACACTCTTCCCGTTTTTCAATAAAAGTTTCCAAAGTTGAAAATAAAAATTATATGAATGTTCTTCCGGCAGCTTTCCTATAGAATCTGAAGCCCCACAGAGTCAGTTAATTTGTTAACCGATCACATGAGTATGGCAATTCTTCTAAACAAAAATCAATCTGAGGTGAACAATGAAAAATGGCAACTTGGCACCAACTTTACATGCTTTGTGTCTCTGCATGCGGTGGCAGGGTGACACCAGGAGTGCATCGCTGGTCACTTACTGCTTTTGTGGAATCAATACAATTCATTTGCTACGCATGTGAATTCTCCGGCCGGAGCATGGGTGCACGTATGCATGGCTTGTGAGTCTGCACGTGTATCGACTCTCCAGTATCCTGTCTTTTGAACGAAGTGGTTTTACCTTAGGCTCCTGCATTTTCCCTGCCTGTTCCATCTAAGCCTTTTTTTAAGGGAGGGAGGCAGTGAGCAATGGCAGATCATCTTCACCTACAGATATTTCAAGTTACTTCCCAAAGCAGTTCGTGTTTCATTACTTCCTGCCATAGGTAAAACCTGTCTCATAAGCTTAGGCCTATTACTGCTCAGAGAAAGAGCTAACATCCTGTGCAGGCATACTGTACGCGTGTAATAAACCAAGATCCGAAGCAAATAAGAACTTCCCACCGCGGCCACTTTTCTGGACACGCTGAATGCACCGTCACCCCAACCAGGAAAATAACTTTCTCTAACTTATCGTATCCCAACTTAGAATCGACACACTAGGGCTGGTCACCCTGAATTGCGTGGAATAAATTCTATCTAAACAGCAGTCTGATGAATGCCATGAGGGTAAAGATGAAGAAAGTGCAACTAATGACACTCTAACAAAGAAGGTGGCCAAAGAAAATGCCCTATGGGTTTGAATCCATTTTTAAGATGAAATTCGAGTTTTCGGTGCTAAAGACTACAGCGTGTTCGCGGTATGCGTTTCACACACGGAAAAGGTGTATGTCCCATCCAATCACTAACACAGTTACCAAGTGTTTTAACATATTGCTGTAAAACGTTCCTCCGGCAGAATGAGTATAAATCAAAATTTTATAACAATACAGAATGCAGATGATTACATCACAGCATGAGGCATAACCAAATGCCATAGAGGAAATCATTAAACCGATCAGTAGTTTCCAGCAGAGATTTGAACAATTCGGTTACTATGCAAGCACATTAAACTAGGCCATGGAAAGAGTTAAACCACAATCTGTTCTTTGTGTGGGAAGGCAGCCCTGCTCACAGCAACCACAGCCCATGATAAGACCTCCCTATCTCCATATACTTTCTGATGCCATGCTTTCAGCTTTCACTGTAACTACAAAAACTTTGTTTATCCCCCTTAGAAATAATGCAAAGGAAGCCCCGTTTAAGGAAGTGTGGACTTAAACATGCTTTGGGAACTCACTTCCTATAATCTGACTTTTACTACGATTTATTGATATGATTAAAAAACATACATACATACTCATCAGCTAAGGACTTGAGAATGTAAAGAATAGATGGGGGAGCTTTGTCTCATTCATTTTACCCTTGGCACGCTTTTAAAAATCTTGCATTATTGCAACAGATATTAAGCGGTGCGGTAACTCTTAAGTGCTTACATCCTTAAGTACTATGTTCAGTGACATTTCATTTTCTTATAAAGACATCAAACATACTTTTGATTAAATTTGTTTGAGTTTCAAATCATCTGTCATGTAATAAATCCCAAAATTTTAATAAATTATTTTAAACAATTAAAATGCAAATTTGAAAACTGAATTTGGAATTTGTTAGCAAATGCACACAAAACAATGTGGGTTTTTTTTTTTAAGGTTGCCTTGAGTTTGTTGCCAATGCTGCCAAATAATGTTTTAAAACATAGTTTTTTTCTTACTGACAAATGGAAACAGCAAACTTGCTCAGTCCACAAAGTTGCCTTATAAAAATGTTACAGGGTTTTACTATTCTGTGGATTCCTTTCAAGTGAAACACTTGACAAGGAGACATAACCTCCAAAAAAATGATAAGTAGAGGTTTGTTAAAAGTCACATACACTTCTGTATTAACATGCCTAAAATGTCATCTCCCAAGTGTGACTGTTCTCTAACACTGAGCTGCAATACATTTTTCGTAATTTTGAGTGACACGCATATGAAGCATAGTAACTGTCTTCATCCAAAAAAAAAAAGTGATTAAGGTATTCAAATGTCCTAATTAATAGGTTATCACAATAACACTTTAAACCATTATGAAAGTTTTTTTTTTTTTTAAGCTAAGCATATAAGTGACCTAAGATCTAATGGCTCTACACTAAGGTAATATGCCACCTCTCCCTTTTAGAGTATTTATTAAAATTCATTGACATTTCTCTTTTAAAACTTCCTTTAGTTGAACTAAATTGATAAAATAAATAACCAAGTTACAAATATCAAATGTAAAAGTAAACAATTCTAATTCCACCAGAAATATTTATTTTTCTTTACAGAAACAATGGTTTCCATGAAAGGGATGGAAAATTAGATCAACAGAGAGGTGGAAGAGTAAATACTAGATATTCTTGAGGCACTGCTATATAACAATAAACCATTTAAAATATGTCCCATGAAGAACTTGAAATTTTAATAATTCAATGCAGTCATGCCAAGTGAAAGTTTTATTAAGGATTTACATTATTTTTAGAAAAAGCAAAATATTAAATCATATATGAAGGTTCTTAGTTTTCCTTTTATATCTGATTTGTACTGAAGTATAAATACTGATTTATAAGGATATACTGATACTTTTACATAACATTTTGCTAAATATCAACAACTTTAACTGTAGCTCCTTTTGAATTAAAATTCTTTCTAAAACCTAGATACTTTATTGCAACAGCTGAGACACTTTGTAAAGTTTTCAACCAATTAAGAATGTTTCTCTATTCTGTATTTACACATCCTAAAAAACATTTTGCTATAGCTAATAGACTCTTATAACACAAAGCTAAACTACTGGTCTGATATAAAAGTAACACTATTAATGTACTCTTACTTTTTGCAACACCTTACATTACCTATAAAGTCACAGAGATACTGAGAATTGGAAAGCTACAATTCCTTCTTAAGCATAGGCCTGAAATCCCCATAATAGTTTTAATACGTCAACCTAGATTTACATTATTAAAACAAGAGAGAATGTTAGTCATCATGAATTAGTGTTGTTAAGTATGTGTTCTTGAATACTAATGTGATAGCTGAATGATTATGCTGTATATGCTCCTAATATTCCATATGTCACGATGCTGCAATGTTATTTCCAACTTATAGAAATTATGATAAAGCTAGTGACTTTACAGTGCATATTTAGAGGAAATAAAAAAATGCAGTGTAATCACTAGCAAGGTTTCTGAGCAGCTGATGCTAGAAATATAAATTAATATAGAAAAGCAATCCTTTGCAGGTGAGAATAAGTGATGCAGTACTTTGTAAGCGAAAAAGCTTACCTCAATTTGTTTTATTTGAACTAGGCTTCAATAATGTAGAGATAATACCAAATGAACATGGTTTACCAGAAAGAAAAAAATATCCTGCTGATAGGTAATATGAAAGGTAACTTTTACAACTAAAGGTAATTCGTTATACCTGAAACAGCTTCATCGTCATATTTATTGTCCATTATTTGTAGCTTTTAAAATACAAATAACTCAGCAACTCATTTTTCCAGTTTTGTTAAAGTGCACGTTACTTGCTGAAAATAGCCATATCTAAGTTAATCATACTCAGATGCCAAACAAAATATAAACAATAAAAAATGTGTCAGCCAAAAAGCTACAGGACTGTATCCAATCACTGAATAAGCCTTATCATTGTTTTCATCTTCATTCACAATTTATGAATGCCTCGGTCCTTTCCAATCACAATGGCTTCTAATTGTCATACAATTGAAATCTTAATCATTTGTCCATTATAAAAATGTATCATCGTGATATTGGATTTTTTAAAAAATTATAACACAACTAAGACCTGGCAACACTTCTTTAACTGTGTAGTTTTCTATGGCAATGTCCAAGAAAATGGTTATCAATTACCAATGGTGACACTTCCTCCTCAAAGCTGAAGTCAACAGTCCCACACCTTTCGAGGTTTAAAATAATGCTTCAAATAACAACTCTGGGCTGATATTTAGTTAGTTCGCCAGTTGGTTAGTTAGCTGGGCAGCGATGAAAACCGCCCCCAGGTAAGTCCGTTCGGTCTCACCACTTTTCCATTTGACCGTCTGGCTTAAAATTATATAAATTGTGTTCTTAAAAATGCATCAAGCCAGTGCTTTATTTCATAACGTTGTTCCTAAAGTCTTAGGACAATTTTCAAAGTGAATTTTTTTTAAAATGACCTTACTTTTCCAGCATTACTTTCTGCCTTCCGAGCTACGCCCAAATATCATCAAATGAACAGGTCTCCACAAAATGAACATGTTCTAAAGTCCTTAACTTTCCCCAAGACCAACTAACTCGTGTCAACGTAAAGACTGCCTTTGTGGTGTGGTCACTGGAAACCTCAAAGTGCGGATCACGATGGACCAGAGTTTCAGATCCCCAAATTAAGCAAAGGAATGGGTCTCCGGACCACAACCTCCGACTCGCTTCGTCGCCCGCCCACTGCCTGCAGCGGAGTCCACAGGCGCCCACAAGGACTCGTGCTACAGTTCCCTCGCCCAAGTTCACTGGTTGTTTATAAGGGCTCTGTCCCTCCGTAAAGCTCCTCTAAAGCCCGAGTCGGTCTCAGCGCTCCAGCGACCGACAGGGGTGGCGGTCACCCTGGGCAGGGGCGCCGCACAGCAGCAGGCACTCGGGCGGCCGCGCAGGGGCTGGCGCTCCCGGGCCGGGGCCCTGCCCACCCCCGGCGGCCTC